TTAGGAGTAACTCTAACTCTGCAGAGTGGGCAGGATGCATCTGCACTATGTAGTCGTCATTGCTGACTTTACTCTGCTGGGCCCACGCAGCCTCTCCGTGGCTCTCAGCTATTACTGTTTAGTATATGTCATTTCAGTTGAAAGCACCTGTAACATTGTGAGGGCTGTGTTGGATGCCACCACAGCGCTACGGGGACAGCATGAAGTCAGAAGATTGTGTGGCTTGCCTTGGTTTGATGGTAGCTAAGGTATGACAGTACAAACCCCCCTTAGGCTGTGTTAGTGGACAGTGCAGGGTAAAAGGAGCCAAACTGACTGCAGTCTTGTCCACGCTGCCTTTTTGGGAACAGTTCCCAGAGTAAGTCCCTGTCTTAAAGACACTTACTAAAGCAATCTGAAACAGAGCCCCAGAGCAAGCTAAGAGTTGAGTAGCATCAAAATGGACAGTCAAAGGTGCTGTGCCTCTTTCACTCTTCAGCCTCTTTCATTTAGCACTGTGGATGAGCACCCTAAGACCCGCATCAGCTGTGTGATCAGACGTATGTCTGAGAACCACATCTGGAAGTAAATAGGCTGAGAATCAAGACCCAGACTGCACAATTTCCCTTATTTCATGAAACAGTCTCCTTTCCAGGCTAAAACCCACAGCTGACTCACACATGCACACAAAGGAAGCATCACACAAATGCATTCTGGTTTTGCCTTGCTCTGTGGTGCAACCTTCACCCCCAGAGCCCCGTTCATCTGAATTACTCTTATTTAATTTTTTTTTTCTTAGATTGCCACTGTGTTTTGTTTGGCTCTCTTCATAATTGTTATATGTATACATGATTTTCTGTTTTAATTTGTGTTGGTTTGTTTCCTTTTGATTTGGGGGTCTGTAACAGGCCTAATTATCTTCTCTGTAGGGACAAAGCCAGATGTTGCATCATCTGCCAGGTGGTTCTGAAGACAAGCAGTTATTTAACATATCTTATGATCTTGACGCTGTTTAATCGGTTTGGACACTTGATCCTACTACCTTTTTTAAAAGAAAAAAAAAAAGCATAACCAGAACAAATACAAATTTATCAAAAAGAAGTCAGCCTTTTAAGCTCACCCTAGGCACTGTTGTATGCCTACAACAATTTTCAGTGGCATTTCATTGTTCTTACACTGTCAAATATTTAAGAGAAGTTTAAATGTATTGCTTTCTTTTCCCCTTTGTTAGGTTTCACTTTTTGTTTATTCTTCCTTTTCAATACAGCTTTTAAGAGTGCTCATTCAGCCCAAAATACTTCTTTCACAGATAGGGGCACGTACAGTGAGGGTGGCATTTCTTGTCTTGTTATATTTTCTTATGTTAGAAGAAAACACTGTCAGGCCATCAAAAAATACTTAAAATAGGTCTTTTTTTTTTTTTTTTTCCAAATTATACAGCTAATAGTGCTGACTTTTCTTTCCAGGTTCTTAGGAAAAAATCCATCTCTGATAGCTAAAGTTTCACGCAATATCTCGCATATTAATAACTCCTATATAAGGTGCTTTCACAGAAAATAGAATAGGGCTATTACTTTAAAGGCCTGCTACTTACTTATCATATAAATGACAGTTTGAGTGAAATGCTGTATAGATTTCAGATGCCATACAAATATGTGAGCTTATGCTCCACATTTAAACTGTGAAGGAGTCATTTTTGGTGTCTGAAAATTAGTTCATTCCCTTATAAAAATGGGAGAGTGATAAACACTGGAAGAAATAAGATAATTAAGATACGGGTATTTAACACATGTATTGGCCCCTGATATGAAGAACTTTCAAACACAATTGAAAGATGTTATCAAATACCTTTTTGCAACAGTCTTGCTCTCCCAGCTGAATTGCCTTATTGCCTTAGAGCAAGGCTTGTCATCTTCAGCACAGTGCTCTACTATTGGACCTCAGTGTCTTCTAGGTCATAGCTCGTTTCCAGCCAATTTGGAGAAAAGTGGAAGAGCTTAGATCAGTCTATGTCTATCATGGTGGAAGTGTCCACAGGAAAAATTCATGGCTCTGAAGTGAACTACAAAGCTCCCAAAGGTTTTAAAGGAGATCAGGATTTCAGTCCTAAACCATAGGGGTTCAAAAATGCAGATTGGTAGGTATGCCACTTTCTTTTAGTTCAGGATATGAAATTGGACCGATCTTCACATAGGTGGCCCTGTTCAATTAAATGTGGATTGTGAAATAAAAGCAGGGTTTGACTGAGGAAGAGAAATATCAGGACAGGTCCCATGGAGACCTGTGTACCTCTGATTTCTTGTTATCAAGATTTTCCCTCACTGGGAAAACCAGACTTACAAGGAAGAAAAAATTGATCTTGCATGCAGATGCTACAGAGGATGCATTTTACGTACCTGGTTTTGTCTACTTCTTCAAAAATACGTTTTCTGTAGAGATCTAAGATGTTTCTAAATCCCCTGAGTAGCAAAGTAGAAAAATAGAAGCAGTTTTCCAGGAAGACAAGGTGGAAGGGAAGGACCCTGACTTCTGCTATGCTAAAGATTGTTCCTGATTTGCATTTTGAGCTCCTTTTCCCAGGTACTCATAGCCACAGAAGTGAAAAACTACAGTTGAAACACGCTAACTCCAAAGACATAGAGAGATACTTTACCTTAGACGAATACTGTTAAGATAGCAATATAAAATTTCCAACTAGAAAAACGAAAAACCCCCCCCCCCCCTTTTTTTTTTCTTTTCTTTAAGCTCTTCTGAAACCTGCTGCAATGAGAAATCTTGAGGGTAAGTACACAGAAGTGCCCTGGGATTCCCATGGTGATGAGGCTCACAGCACAAGCAACTCACAATTGACAGCATTTCTTTGAGAGAGCTGGACCTGGTGCTAATGTTTGGAGATGCACTGAAATTTGTTTTTGCAGGCCTAAGAACACTCTCCCCATAGACTGATTGGAGCATAACGAAAGATAATATATTTCCAAGGTTTTTTTACAGAATGTGAGCATGCGTCTTTGAAAAAGGAAACAGTTTTGTATAAAGGCTGATGTTTGTAAGCCAGCAGTTTCTCACTTCTATTACATCAGAGCTGTAATGTGTGAGAAGTCCTGGGATAAATGTATATTCTCAGGGTCATTTAAAAGAAAAGCTTTCTTCCCATTTCCTTGGGTTCACCGGTCTCTACCTGCTAAAACTGAATGTCAAAAACATGCAAGTAGCTTACAACTACAAAACTGAGGCAAAACCATTTCCTACAAGCATCTTGAAGAGATGGAGTGATATTTTCACAATGAATAACTTTCTCTGTGCACTCAGTTGCATTATATTTCTGATTTTTTTTCCAGCTATAAAAGTGAAAGATACTAAATTTGCCAAGTATTCACTTCTGAGACTTCAGAGACATCTCACAAAACAGGACCAGTGGCCATACAAAACAGAAGTCAGCTTAAGTGAAAGACAACAGGAGTGCCAAGTCTCCTTCCTAAGGGGACCCCTGATTCAACCCCTTAATACATTATTTCTTTCTGCTACAGAAATGTCAATTTGAATTAAATCTCCATTGTGCTAAGCACTGAATACCTGTTATGGGAGATACAATCCCACTTCTGAAGATCTCACAATTTCCAAGTAAGGTTTCAGTGTGGAGGGAACGTATTTTACATTAACATGCTTCCTTGTATTTTGAAGCTACCTGATCATTATTCTTTACAAATAATGAAATAATTTGTGAAAAGGTAGACACCAGGGGGGAAATCTCCTTGACAAAAATCTGAAGTAGTTCAACTATGCAGAGATTTTCAAGGGATGACTGCATATAAAATTTGGCACCCTAGTTTTGAAAATCATCCTCCTCTTTGTATATTACGGCCTGAGATTGGAACTAACAAGTGGCAAGGAACTGTTTTAGCTATTTGCATATACTTTTTAAACAACTGCAAAAACCTTTCTTCCACCAAAACCCAACACATTTAGGGGAAAAAAAAAAAAACAACAAAAAAACCAATAACACAAAGTAATGCAATAGGTTTTTCTTATAATTAGTGACAGTGCTCTAGTTTAGCTCTATGGAGCCAGGACATTTGAAATGGTCTGATTTGAAGAGATGCTCCTGGCTTCTAAAGGCTGTGCAGCAGGAGTGGATCTGCATGTCAGAATACCTCCATGTCCAAACCACTGTTCTTGTTTCAGATAGATGAAACTGAAGTGTTTTCAATTTTTCCAGCACTCAAAAAGACAGAATTCTGGTCTTATTTGGACTGGAAACTTCTGAAGTGTTGCAGCTTTCTGTGGGGGTCTGTATTGTGTGTGAGACCCTGAATCTATCATGTTACTCAATGAAAGTCCCCGTCTGCTGCCAGAAGAACAGCTAAAAAATGTATTATTCTCTTTTTTTTTTTTTTTTCTTGAGCAGTACATATGACAGAAGACAGCTTACCCATGCTTACAAAGTATTGACCAAGAATTCTTCATCCATTAACAAACCCATGCTTAGCCTTGAAAAATTCAGTGGAACTGGAGCAAGGAGAATTTTCCGGCTTGCACTATAAATTTTCTTGTGCGTTGAAGTAAATAACGTAAGTTTTTAATGGTCTCAATATGGCAATGGTTTTAATTTAAGTGAAATTACTTTCATAAATTTGCATAATATGGCAATGCAAATACATTACAGTATAATTTTATTACAAAATAACCGAAAATATATCTTCTCAGCTTGATTTAAAAGGCTGACATGAAGATAACTTCCAGACTACATACAGAGGTCTGTCTTTGCTGAATGGTTTCAGGTATCAGAATAGTGTTATAAAAACAGCCTACAAGCTCTGCTATGAGCAGTGATGAGAGCAATAGTGTGCGGGATTACATTAACTCCACAGACCCATTATTTGTTATTCCTTCCATAGGTATTGACAATTCAAGAAGCTTGGCACATGTCAACCACACATCCTTGACTTGAGATTTCAGTGCATTTTCTTCTGGGTTTTTGAGTAAAGGACGTCTTTCTATTTTAACCTAATCTGGTGACTTACCAAACAAATGAGAACCTTCAGCAAGAGAAAATCCATCAGCAGTGGCTAGCTGGTGATGTCCTATTAAATTCATTTCAGATCCCATTTATTCTTCAGTTCAGGATGAATATGCTAATTAAGAAATAAGTTGAAAGAAGACCCTGAAAGATATAAACAAAAGGAATGTTTAAAAGAAGACAACTAATTTTTGTGCACCTAATGTAAGGCAGGATTCAGGAGGTTGTTTCAGTATTTACTGTAACAAACATTGGCTTGAAGTTACAATATCAGACTTTACTAATCAGAAGTTACTAATTCAGACTTTAAACAAAATGCTGCATCTAGTTTGTTTGATTTTTTTCCTTATTATGGTGTATTGTATTTGCCATCGTTCTGCTATACATTTAAAACTAATGGCAGGTTATGCTCAACATTATTCAAATATTCACAGACTGAAGCACCAGCCTGACCTGCTGAGGGCATGCTGCACAGCCCCCCTTCCAGGGAATACCAGTTACTGGCATTATTTTTGCATCACCCTTTCATCGTTTCATTGTTTCCACTTACTGAAAAAGTGTAAGCTTATGGCTAGGTCAGAAGAACCAAGCCAGGAAACCTAAGTTTAATTTCCAGTGACTGGCTCTTCATCCTGCCTTCAGTAATTACTGTCTGAACAAGATAAATGGCAGCAAAACCAGAAAGCAAAGCCTTGGTCTAATAGCCAGGCCAGCCCGCCAGCTCCCTTCGGGGTCTCAAGCAGCCATACAACACTCTTGCTTGAGGAGGTTGCGAGATGCTTGTGCCCACTCACTAGAGTACTTTCTTAGCGGGTCAGATGGAGCAGCTGTAATCTCCTGAGACTGACAGTGGCACTGTACCCAGGTCTTCTCCTTCCTGCTCTGATGGCTAGGCTATTAAATAGAGGCAAGAGTCCTGCCATTGCCTCCTACTCAAGCTGAGGCTATAGCTAGAGCAGCACCTCATCCAGAATAAAGATAGTAATGCAAGAGGCTCCCTTGCCCAGATCTGGCTTATGTGGGTGGGATAGGGCAACTCAAGATTGCATTTGAGGTAGAACCATCAGCAACAGGAGAACATACAGCTCCAATGAGGAGATGTCTTAAGGGTTTATGCAAACACCAAGAGGATTCTGCATAAAGTTGACAGAAATCCGTTTTGCTTTGGTTTATAGTCTTAATTCTTTATTCAGTTTTATTCCCACAGGACTGTCCCTGGGACTGTGTTTCCACTCACTGAAGACATTTGAGAGTTATAGCCCAGCCTGCTTCCCAGTGAGGGCTCAGCATGTTTCTTGAGCAGGAGTGAAGTCATCTGACAAACACGTGAATGCAGCAGGAGGCCCCAGTACTGAGCAGACTGGGAAGTAGCTTGTGAGAGCAGCAAGCACGCTGTGTAATTATATTCAGATTTGTCTGTAAAGATTCATTAATTTCCTTCTTAACATAAACAAAGGCCCTCTAATTAGGCAGATGCATTTTAAATGTCTGCCGACAGATAATTTAAACAGTTTACTCAGAAATGTCAAAAGCTAGTTGTATCACAGACCAGATAGAGTTCTTGTGGCAAATAACATGTAAACACACAGTCTCAAATCTAGCACAGAAGCACAGTTTTGCAACAACCAAAAACTCCACATGTCTTGGGATGGGGGCGGGCGACCAGCCCAGCCACCCCAGTAGGCGCACGTTTACTTCCAACCATTTTAGCGCCTCACCACCACATTTTCCAGGGAAGGTCTCCTTTGCACTCAATAGGTGAGGCTGCCCACATGGCTGCAAAGGTCTTACAATTCCTGACGGCCAGTTTTCTCATGAACTGTCCATGACAGACCCTTGGGAGGGGGTTCCTCTTACAGCCCGTCACAAGGGTTCTGCCATGGGAGAGACAGCAGCACAGTCAGGACCTTTGTAGTGGTCAGTAAGAGAAATGTCGAAACGAGGCATCTTCAGAGGGCTCCTGAATGTTTCTCTGGATTTTCTTGATGAAGACCAGAGGAGAGAGGCCATATCCACCCTCTCCTTATAGCCCTTCAGTAGCTTTTTTACAGCTCACAGGTGTGCAACCCTTGCAGTTCCTTGCAGGATTAGGTCTCCCTGTGGTCAGACTTGAAGATGATGTTCCATCACTACTACTACTTCTCATGTTTCCTCCACGGACCAAATATGAGGATCTAGCACTGCAACAACTAACGTGTTGGCATTGGGATTGTGAATTTCTGTATGTTAATGCAGAGCCTAGAACTCATCTTCTTAGGGAATTTTGGATATTGTATCAAAATATTTTAAAGACAGTCCCAAGAAGACATCTGTTCCAAAGTATTTTCATATATAGTCAGACTTTCAATGCATAGCTTCTTAGCTTGTAAGGTATATATCCTGCATCTGTCTAGTCTGTGCTGCAAATAGGGAGAAAGAAAGCAACCTGTAATTTTAAACCCTAATAGAGTGTTTGTGTTTTTCAGCCTCTTTGAACAGTATGTAAATATTTTTCATGTTCCTTTGAGGCCATTCCATTTAATACGTCATTAGATAACGTCACTCTTTAACCTCAAGATAGACTTCTTAGAATCTATGGTGCTATTAATACTGCTTTGTTTCTATTGAGAAACTTGAGAATATATTTGTCACAACCTGTTAGTACACTAGGACATTACAGGTTTTGTAAATCTATTCCTCCTGCCACATTAATTTTGATCTGGATGGATTCAGTTCGGGTCAAATGTTCATGATTATTTTACAGTTCCCACCTTTTTTTTTTTTTACTATTTCATTTTCTTTAATATATTCAGCTGATGTAGACCATTTACTGGATTTAATGGAAGAAATTAATCCTATCTTCTGGGGATTTCTGCAAGGCACAAGACATTGCACAGTGAGCACCATTAAAAAGGCTGGAAATATATTTCCATTACATGTAGATTTGCAACTGTAAATTTTCCTGAACACTAAACTCTTCATTAAATACTCACTGACATTTTGCTTTGATTTACCCCTGAATTCAGCCTGCTGTCTGCCATCTATCATATACTGGATTTATCCAATTATTTTCACCAGCATTTAAAAGCAGCAGCTACTATTTTCCAGCTTTCAGACCTACACCAGGTACACAATATAGAGCATTTAAGCACCACTTATTCCACACATTGCTCAGTTCTGGGAAATGCATCACAAGGCATCAGAGACTCCACTTTCAAAGAACCGGTACCACAACACACACCCCATCATTAGCCCCTTCTCAGCCTAATCATCCTCAGCCGTTGCTGCATTTAAGCAGCTGTGGTCCCAGCTGGCTGCAACTCCAGAGGCATTGATCTAGCCAGGGGGATGATCACACCCAGCAGATATACAGAGGCACACAACTGGCTAGCAACACAGCCAGGTGACAAAGGGTGCCATCTGCAGTGCCTAGACACAGACCTGCTTGGCAGAGATATTCCTTCCAAAAATAAAGGGTTTGGGTTGGGTTATTTTTTTGGTTGGTGACATTAAGCTATCTCATCTCAGCTTCTGGAATAAGTTCATCTGCATGAACTAGGATCAGTAAAGACTCTCTTAATTCTGATTTCTTTATCCACCACAACCACATGATATTGGAATGCTTCTTGATATTCACAGGCATCTTTAGTATGACTAAAAATTCATAGGTATTTCTACCTCATGCTTGCTTCCTTATGTAAAGCGTACCTTTTAGCTACTTCTACAAAAATTAATCTAGACCATCTTAGCCCACTTGACTGATACTCCATCCTGAGGTGGAGACAGGTAGAAGCTGAAATAAAGGCAATAGGTACACAGAAAATCAATATTGCTCTTCAAAATAAGAGCCCCGCAAGAGAAATTAAGGGGCATGAGATAAGTTACAATGCTTTTTTTTCCCAAATAATTACTTTAGTTAACTTGTTAATAACCCTGTTTACTCCATCATCTTTTGAAATTATTTTCATAGGGCAAGAATCTACGGCAAAGAAGAACAGAGATTAGTATGTATGAAGTAAAATATATGCCAATTTCCTTGACATTATTTTCATCAGTTGCATATTAGGAGCTCTGAATTACACAAAATTTTATTATATGTATCCTTTAGCATACTTCAGAATAGTTGATCAATGCATGTTTATGTATTCTATGTTTAACTGAGAAAATTGCCGTGTATATTATTATATATGTGGCTTGTTCTTTCACCATATGTACGTACATGCATGTTTATTCAGCTTTCTTAGGCATATATGTTCATGGTTGTATACAAGTATATATAGATACACATATGCCTGTGGGTGCCTGTTTCAGATTTATTGTTGATTCCTCATCAGTAGACTACCTCTGACCCTACTATGGTCAATAGCAAAGCTTCCCCGGCTTCTGTGTAAGCAAAGCCAAACCTTTTAACTAAATAATTAAACTTAAAATCACCTGGGCTCACTGGAAGACAAAAGCATTGTAGCCCCATACTTTCTAGTATGGTAGAGATACGTTTGATTACCAGGAAAGCTCCATGACAGTCTAATTGCATTTTACCTTCAGAAGAAGAATGATTTAATCTGTTTCAATTACTCAGTAAAGGAAGATGTATCAAAGCACTGGCAAAATTTTTCACAAATATTAGTGAGGTACATTTCCCTCCTTCTGTCCCGTAATACTGTCCTATTCTTTAAATATCTGTCTGCCAATTGCTCAAAGAGAAATTTCGGTAACATCATTAATCTATGGCCTGATCCAAACATTGTTAGCATCAATGGGAAGATTCCCGTTTAGTTCACAGGCTTTTGATCTGGCCTCATAGCCTTTTTGTAGAATATTTAATGCAGTGCCTTACTTATCTGAGTGGCTTTTTTATTTGCTTGCATTTTTGTTTTAAAGTGTATCAAAGAGACATGAAAGCATTAGGAAGATTCATGCTCCTTGTTTATAGCCTTTTGCTACCAGATCATTTTGGCATGCATGGCATTGCTGTCAGCTACACAGCAACCAAAGCAAAATATAAGCAACAATATGAGCAAGTTTGGGAACTAGAAGCAGAACTGGCGTTACAGTGTTTGATTGAAATTTACTGGTTAGGGTTTTTTTTAATATGTTGTTAGAAGTCAGACGACCCAAAAAATATAGGATATTCTTAAAGATATATATTTTCCCTTCAGAATAAGCTGTAAGTCATTCACAGGTAAAACTGAAAACTCTACCAAAAGTCTCAATGTAATTTCTGTAAGTAGGAAAGTAAATTCAAAGTGAGGCCAGGTTCTGGCTGTCCCTGGGGTGACTTGCTGAACACCATTTGTCTGTGTCTTCCTGTCTCACCCGATAAAACTGCAAACCCTCCTTTTTTACCCTGTTTTTGGGTTCCCATCTAGCCTAGTGGGATCCCAATCTAGTTTGGGATCTCTAGGGTCTCTGTAACACAAGCAATAAAATAAACAAATAATAAATACAAATAAACAAAGCAATAAAAATAACAAAAGCCAAATGTGTCCCACAATGATTACAGTTTTCTGAAGACAGATGGCTAGCAGGAGCACTCAGAAGAAATTGATATTTTCTTAAAAACTGGCAATGAATTCAAATAGTAGTCGCTTGAAATGTGAAACCCCCTCTTGCTTGTGCTAGTTACGTGAAATAAGTGCTAAAGTCCTGGACTTCAGAAGATGTACCTGGAATCTGCACACAAAACTGTCAAACAAAGAAATTACACAAAACAAATATAACCATTCCATTCTGGATTGTCCTCTGTTCTCCCATTAATCACATTTAAAACATTTCTGTTCCTAAAAGGATAAAAAATTAATGCACTACTACAATTTTAAAGCTCCTGCACATAATTAACTAGATAATGGTAATGCAGGAAAGACTCAGTATCAAAGTTATACTTTCTTTTCCAGTGAATGCAGACACAGAAACCAGCTTTCTAAAGACGGATTCCAGCACTGTCATTATTTTTCATGACCTTAACATTTTCCCTAAGGGGAATACCTGATGTTATGCCAGTTTTATAGATGAAATTACTTCTCCTTATATTATTCTTCAATCAAACACTAGTTTAAAAAAATCCTTTTTTTTTTTCCTGGTCAAGAATTCATTAACATCCACTAAATAATTCATGTGAGAAAATTGCTTTCATACTACACAACAGCAAGAGAGATTAGTTTAAGGAATTATTACTTACTGTCCTTTTCTGGAAGACTGCAGATGGCAGGATGTAAGACAGTTCTGTTCTCAGTTCGGTATCCTAACGATTCTCACACAGGAACATTTTTGTTTTGTTTTGGTTTTTTTTAGGTTTAGCAGAAGCCTGTAGTGATAACACAATGAATCAAAGCCTGGGCTCATTGGCTCAGTGCCCTAATGGACAAGGATTACTCATTAACAATTCTTTCTTTGCGAAACTCTCCAAAGACAGGCTGTATTAAACTGTTGTGAATCCCAGCTTGTCCATCAGCAGAGATTTGAGATGGGCTCTTGTCTGGGTGCAGAGGGGAAGTTAGCTCAAAAAGTGGGGTGAGAGTACCTCATTGCTGATTATAACACTCTTCATGCACATTTTTATGACACACTCAGCTTCCTTCTCTTTCCCACCCAAGGAGCCCAGATGTCATTCCAAGATATATACTAAATTTCTAAGTATTTCTGTTCTTTACACTTTTGAGGGGAACTGAGCATTACACTGAGGACTGAAGAAGCAGAATGGGCTACAAATTACAGCATCGTAGGGATTTGGGAACATTAAAGTTCAGTTCCTGGGTTCCTGGATCCACCACACTCTTTAACAAACTGAACCTTTTTGATTTGGGCTCATCCCATAAAGCTTTTGGCATGAAATTGAGGCCCTTAACTTTAAATGTAGTATACTCATGCACTGTTTGTGCAAAGGTAGCACAAAGCTAGCACTCCCAGGGGGTACTGTTTTCAGGGATTTATGCCTACAGTTCATTCCAGCAGTCACTGGCCATATAATAAGCACATTTAAGTCCAAGGTTTTCTCAGTCCTCATTTCTGATTCTCTGAAAGTCACCGCTACTGTAACTGATGAGATTTCTGTTTTACAAATTCATATTTAAAAAAATTGACAAGGTACTTTCAAATATGAGAATTCTTCCAAAACAACCCTACCCATAGGAGACAGGTGGCCTCCACAACTCTAAACATGCCAGCATTCCATCTGACACTTTCCAGTAAACGTCCATGCCAGTGATGCCTGTGAAACCCATGCCAAAAAAACTTCTTCATCTCTCTTCAGTCATTCCGAGGCCAGTGATGGGCTTAGTCCTTTATCAAGTGAAGAAGTGGAGACTGAGATAACAAGTCCAACATGTCATATTATGTCTCACAGAGCTTTCCGTCTCTCGGCTAGTTCTGAAGACCTTAAATCCCTTTTTCAGCTTTCAGCCTTCTTCAGTATTTGTCCTAGATAGTTGGTGGCACAGGGCAATTGCTATTTAGAAGTCTCTAGAGACCAACCTTCAATAAAGGTTCTTCCCCAAAAAGCATTTTCCTCTATGTGGATGCTGTTTGTCAGACAGTGAAGAGCTCACCACAAAGGAAGCAGAATTTAATAACCCTATTCACTAATGAATTTGTTGCATTTCCCTACAATAATGAAGAGGCAAGTGGCAAAGTGGTGTGCTTTGTCCACTAATCAATACTTTCAAGACATTGTTGGAAAAAGCAAAGAAAGAATACACATGACCAAAAGAGGAGATGTTGCCTGTAGCAACGACATGTGGCATTACTAGTTCAAGCCAGGTGTTCATATTTTATTGTGGCTGATGTGCAAATGAAAACTGAATAGAAAGGAATTAGAGCAAGTCAAATACATCTTCTCTAGTGTTACAAGAAACTACCTATACAGCATCAAGGCAGAGAAGAGGAAGTGAAGATTCAAATCCAGTTACCTATGAATATATCTTTTCTGAAATAGCATTGCATGCTATAATTTTTAAAATTTCAGAAAATTGACATCCTAATACTTCTCTAGGCAATACTAACATTACTTCTGTTACTGACAAATAGTACATGTTGTAAAATGCATCCATGCCATTATCAATGCAAATACATGCTCATCTAAAAAAATAGTGAGACATGTATATAACATTCAGAGCTAGAAATCTGTCTGCCTAGAAAATATTGCTTCATAAAATCCACACTCCATGAAAGAATGTGAGGTTTTGTCATAGCTCCTGTTTGCTCCTCCTCTTGCTACTCTGCCTTTTCTCCACTGAAATAATTGCCATCCCGTGCTTGCACTGACAAGTTAGCACCATGGCTCCAGGAAAAGGGAAAGGGAAGACAAATCCTGGCAACAAAGTGGTTTGTCGTCTAAAGTGTGGAAGGGAAAATCTAGCACAGAGGGAGATGGGAAGAAAGGAAGAAATAACAGGTCGGACATTCATCTTCAACATTTCCTTCTCTTCACACCCCTATGAATGCATCATCACACATTTAAAAAATACAAAAAAAAAAAAAAAATAAAAGCCCAAACCACAAGTGACCAGTAACTTCTCCTTTTTGCAGAGATAATCTTGTCAACAGCTGTACCACCTTCTGCCTACTCACAGCCGGTTGCTTGGAGCTCCAGCGGCATTGTGCAGATGTCAGCCATTCACAAGTAGGGAGAGACCTTGCGTCTGTGTTTGTTCGATAGGCCAAGGGACATGGGTCTTGACTGAGATCTGCTTGTGCTCAAGAACCTTTTTCCCCATGCTGCCAGCTCCCAGCATGAATGGTACTGCAGGCACATGAGGGATCATCTAAATCAAACTGTGCCTCAGCAGAAGCCAACAGTTAGAGCTTTGAAAGTTCCCAACTTGATTATAAACAGTTGCCACTAAACGGCAGAGTCACCTGCACTTCTTTTTTCATCCCTGCAGGACCCCTCATTTGTTATTGCTACACAGAGGACACACATCATCTACACCACTTCAGGTCATGGTCTGTCTCCTCAGACTGGTAATTTCTTACTCTTAGGCACTCTCAGAAATATTACTATTCACCACCTTAATGAGTATAGAAAGCATTTGATTTCTTGAAGGATGGCCAAAATTTCTTAATAGATGAAGCTGCTTCTGTACAGGCTGAAAAAATAGGAAGGGAATGGGGTGAAAAGTTTCAGTGAGATAACTCTAGGAGCTGTTCATTTTTTTTTTCTGCCTACATTTCAGAAGTGGAGGAGTAACTCCACTTTTAAGATTAGTTTGACTTGTTGTGTAAGTCTTTAATTAATGAAAGCCTCTTCATTATACATCATTCTTTGATCATTCAGTGTCTGAACAGGGCAAAATTTGTTCAACGATCCTATGTTTTGCCCTGATGTAATCCAATATTCTGTCTTTATCACTCACATATTTGAAGTGGAGTGTCATGAAAGAGTAAAATGACCATGGAACAATCTGTCCTAAGGGGGGAATTCCTCCCTGATGGCAGGTAGTTAATAGTTAACCAACATGCTCTAGCAAAAGCATATATGTCATTAACAAGGTACCATCTTAGAGCTGTCTGGGTGCAAGAGGAAAGCTGAGGGTATGTGGAATCTGCTACAGTATCAGATGCTAAAGTTCAGTATGGAGAACTTGTTCTACCTCCCTCTAGCTGACTTCAACAGAAATTAAAAATGTATTTTTCTATAAATAAGTTCTGGTTATTTCACATTAGATTCTCTCTCATTTTAAATTGTAAGTAAGGCACTGATATTACATGCTCTTCCCCACACCACCCAACCTCCTGCTAGGGGTTACAAGTTTAAAAGTTCCTAGAGAAATCACAGCTTTAAGTTAAATATGTTAGTACAGTTTTAGTTGATAAGAAGTTATCCTACAGTCCTCAGAGTAAACATATACTTTATTCTTTCAATTTTTTCCTCTTGACATTTTGATGTTATACAGTACGACAGTGATTGAGTTCAATAAGGGTTAGACTTCATTTGTGTAAATATTTGGAGAGATAAAAAAATTATGAAATGTTGATCTATTCCAGTAAATTAATGCACTGTCCTTTCATTAATAAGTAGTTCTTTTAAACTGAATGTCAAAGGTGATGAGCGAAGTATTATTAATAGATAAAGATTGGGATATTTTTAGATGGGCTTTTGAATTGCTAAAATATTCACTATGAAAGCAATCATTCTGCAAACTTTTAAACCTCTACTTGTTTTTAATACTGCATCTAGTGTCAAGGAAAAAGAAAGACGTCTAAAAGAACTAGTTCAACCACCAGCAAGAAACTGTTTATTTCAGGATGGATGAGGAAATGAAGTCTAGGCATCACATGAATGGACAGTGTAAGCCATTGGAGGTGCAGGAGAAGCCTCTGCTGATGCTATTTGGCAAGCCAGAGTCACTGTTAGACTTTTAAGCCCTCAGTGCTCTGAAGCATTGCAGACAAATGACTGCTCTCATTGCTTGTTAAGAGAGTGGGCTGAAGAGCAGGCACGGGACGCCAGACAAGTACCCAGAGCAAAGCCCGGGGGAACTGCCCCATCCTGCCCCAAGAAGTCTGTGGCCACCCAGGGCAGAAGGGAACATCACACAGTCAGCAGCTGATGCAAAGCTCATTATACCTGCCTATGTATCCAGAGGAAGGGGGAACAACACATTTGGCTATGAGGAATTGTGCAGGATTCAGGCTGAAAGAAACTGTATTCCTTCTGCAAGGAAGACACTTATACATCATGGAGGAGCAGGGCTACTCCATGAAGAGGATGAGCTAGGAATTGAGGATAGCCCCACAGCACCTGACTGGGGCCAGGGTGCTGGTAATAATAGGCCCAGAAGAGGCAAGGTGGTCAGTCAGGACCACGGGCAGTCCAAGGACCAGTCAAGAACAGCAGGAAGAGACAAGGGCAGATGCAGAACTGGAGACACACTACCTGTAGCATCAGCCTGAAGTCCACCCAGGAGACAGAGTAGAGGCAGGACTGGAGAGAAGTGCAGGCTACAGCTAACACACGCAGCTCACCTAGGAAAAATCCACCAGTGAGCCAGGACAAAAGGAGACAACATCAGGCAGACCTACAGCTTATCCCAAGCCAGAACTAGAAGTTCAGGCTTGAGCTTGAATAGCACAGTGACCGCATGGGCAGGGTGTGGGTGAGGCCCCAGGTGAGGCTGCTCAGGTCTGTTAAAACCTGTTAATGTCCTCAAGACCCTGATGTAAAGCACCTCTCAAAGCTTTTGTTGCCTCTTCCTTGTTCCCTACCAGAATTTGGACAAGCAGTGAATACAGTTATGGTCACCTGTAGCAGGCAAGAAGAACA